GGTCTCTATAGGATCTATGGGGGGGTCCCTATGGGGCCCTATAGTTGCCTATGGGTCTCTATAGGTGTCTATAGGTCTCTATAGGGCCCATGGGGTATCCCTATAGGTGTCTATGAGTCTCTATAGGATCTATGGGGGGGTCCCTATAGGGCCCTATAGGTGTCTATAGGGCCCATGGGGCATCCCTATGGGGCCCTATGGGTGTCTATGGGTCTCTATAAGGTCTATGGGGGGTCCCTATGGGTCCCTAGGGGTCCTTATAGGGATCTATGGGTCCCTATGGCTCCCTATAGGTGTCTATGGAACTCTATAGGATCTATGGGGGGGTCCCTATGGGGCCCTATAGTTGCCTATGTGTCTCTATAGGTGTCTATAGGTCTCTATAGGGCCCATGGGGAGGCCCTATAGGTGCCTATGGGTCTCTATAGGATCTATGGGGGTTCCCTATGAGGTCCCTATGGGTCCTTATAGGGATCTATGGGTCCCTATGGGTCTCTATGGTTGCCTATAGGTGTCTATGGGTCTATATAGAACCTATGGAGGGTCCCTATGGGGCCCTATGGGTCCTTATGGGGGGGTCTCTGGGTCTCTATGGGGCCCTATGGGTCTCTATAGGGTCTATGGGGTGTCCGCATGGGTCCCTGTGGGGCTCTATGGGGCCCTATGGGTGTCTATGAGGGTCCCTATAGGTGTCTATGGGTCTCTCTAAGGCCTATGAGGAGTCCCTATGGGGCCCTATGGATCCTTATGGGGAGTCTATGGGTCCCTATGGGTCTCTATGGGTCCCTATAGGTGTCCATGGGTCACAACAGGCTCTATGGGGGGATCCTTATGGGTGTCTATGGGTCTCTATAGGGTCTATGGGGGGGTCCCCATGGCTCCCTATGGGGGTCTATAGGTCCCTATAAGTGTCTATGGAGCATTTCTATGGGTCCCTACGGGTCCCTATAGGGTCTATGAGGGGGTCTATGGGTCTCTATGGGTCTCTATGGGTCTCCAGGTGTCCCTGTGCTCCGCCTGTTGTCACCCGGACAGGGTGACGTCAAATGGGGGGGGGGTCTATGGGGGAATCTATGGGTCCCTATGGGCTCTATGGGTCCCTATGGGCTCTATGGGTCGCTATGGGACTCGCCGCGCTCCGCCTGTTGTCACCCGGACAGGGTGACGTCAGTCAAACAGGGGGGTCTATGGGGGATCTATGGGTCCCTATGGGTCCCTATGGGCTCTATGGGTCCCTATGGGTCCCTCTGGGTCGCTATGGGTGTCGCCGCGCTCCGCCTGTTGTCACCTGTACAGGCTGATGTCAGTGAACCAATCCTGCACCAGCAGCACCACGTGACACACGGTGAAGAGGAAGGCGGCGATCTGCAGCGACTGTTGGGACACCCGCGGTCGCCGACTGTCACCCGGCGTCACCGACTGTCACCCAGTGACCCCAGTGTCCCCATATCCCCATTGTCACCCCGTGTCACCCGGCGTCACCAACTGCCACCCGGTGACCCCATTGTCCCCATATCCCCATTGTCACCCCGTGTCACCCGGTGTCACCGACTGCCACCCGGTGTCCCCACATCCCCATTGTCACCCACAGTTACCCAGCACCACCCAGTGTCACCCGGTGTCCCCATTGTCTCTCATTGTCACCCGGTGTCACCCATTGCCAGCCAGTGTCACCCGGCGTCACCCACTGTCACTGTCACCCAGTATCACCTGCTGTCCCCATTGTCCCCACATCCCCGTTGTCTCTTCACTGTCACCCGGTGTCACCATCGCCCACTGTCACCCACTGTCACCCGGGTAGTCATGCGGTGGTCACGCTGCAGTCGCGCTGTAGTCGCGCTGTAGTCGCGTGGTTGTCACACGGTTGTCACGCGGTTGTCACACGGCAGTCACGCTGTAGTCGCGCACTTGTCATGTGGTTGTCATGCTGTAGTCACGCTGCAGTCACGCTGTTGTCACGTGGTTGTCACGTGGTAGTTGCACTGTAGTCGTGTGGTTGTCACGCGGTGGTCACGCTACAGTCGCACTGTGGCCACGCTGCAGTCACGCTGTAGTCGCGCGGCTGTCACGCTGCAGTCACGCTGTAGTCACGCGGTTGTCGCGCTGTAGTCGCGCTGCAGTCACGCTGTAGTCGCACTGTAGTCGCGCCGTTGTTACGCTGCAGTCGCGCTGTAGTCACACTGCAGTCATGCTGTAGTCACGCGGTTGTCACGCTGTATTCACGCGGATGTCGCGCTGTAGTCGCGCTGCAGTCACGCTGTTGTCACGCTGTAGTTGCGCTGTTATCACGCTGTAGTTGCGCCTGTAGTCACACTGCAGTCACGCTGTTGTCACGCTGTAGTCGCGCTGTTGTCACGCTGTAGTTGCGCCTGTAGTCACACTGCAGTCATGCTGTAGTCGCGCTGTTGTCACATGGTTGTCGCGCTGTAGTCGCGCTGTAGTCGCGCCGTGGTTACGCTGCAGTCGCGCTGTAGTTGCGCCGTTGTTACGCTGTAGTCGCGCCTGTAGTCACACTGCAGTCATGCTGTAGTCACGCTGTAGTCACACGGTTGTCGCGCTGTAGTCGCGCTGTAGTCACACTGCAGTCATGCTGTAGT